ATGCTGTGTGTGTGTGTGTGTGAGTGTGTGAGAGTGTGTGTGTGTGTGTGTGTGTGTGTGTGTGTGTATTCTGTTTTTTGCAAGGAGCATCAATACATGATGCAACAAAAAGTTGAAAGCACGGAGGTAGAAATTCTCACTCACCCAACAAAGGGTGCAGTTTGGTCCTTAGAGCTTGGACCCCTACTCTTCCCAAACTGAGAAAAGAGGAGTAGGACTGAGGAAGAGCTTGGACGAAGTTCTCTCTTGGAGGAGACCCTTTTGCAAGGAATTCATGGCCACAAATTCAGGAAAAAAGGAGATGGTTGTGTATGTGGTGAGGGAGGACGAGGCCTCCCTAGGCCTCCAACACATTGCAAGGGGCCACAGGATGAACACAAGAGAACACCACCATGCACACAGGGACACACACTCCATCTGCTATCAGGGAGCTATCCAAGAGATGCACCAGGCCAAGTGAATTCCAGGTCAACTTCAAGGTGTGAGACAATAGCCAGTAACTACAGCCTAAAAGAGACTGGTACTTCCAAGCAGGAGGAAGGTAGAATGGCCCTCCCTAAACACACCTTTCCTCTATTCTCCCTCCCAATGGTTGGGATTTAGAGTTAGATGTAAGAAAACTGAGACACAGAAGTATCCAGCCCTCTGGAAGTTAGGCAAAGAGGGTCTAGAGAAGGAAGATTAAGAGAGGCAGACCTCCCTTACCAATACCTGCTATTCTCCCTCCAAGCAGTCTTGACTCAAAGGATGCAGGACAGACACTCTGGCCTTCGCCCTGTTAATAGTTCTTCCAAACGGCTCTGACTAAATTTGAGAGAAGGACTGAAGACAAGGGAACTGGGGACGCTCCACTCAAATGCAAGGCTCCCTGCCTTTATCCTCAATTCTAGGAGACCGCTGGCCAGGATATTTACATAGCCATGGGCCCCCCCTCGTTCTCTGAGATGCAGTGCCCCAGTTGGGAACCGCCCTGAGGTGGTGGTGGTGGCGGAGGTGGCGGCGGGGCAGAGGGTGGAGCGCCGTAACCACCCCTGGCTCGACTCGGGGAGGGTCGACTGCTCCTGTCCCAGCAGCCCTCCAGTGCCTCCAGGCCACGGCAGCCGAGGAAGAAAAGGTTCTTGAGCATGAAGATGGAGAGGGGCTGCTGGTAGCTCACCACCAGGAGGCAGCGCAGCGCCAGCAGCGGCACATCCACAAGGCAGCCACCTAGCAGGCGCAGGAGGCGGCTGCAGCTCCCGGGACCAGAGGCCTGGCCCCAGGACGAAGCTGCTGTGGCTGCTGCGTTGAGCTCATAGAGCCAGAGCACCGGCGAGGCGAGTGTGAGGAAATAGACAGCAATGAGCAGGTAGCGCAGGTGCGCTGGCAGCGGGACGCGGCCTTCCAGCATCAGTTCCACTAGAGTGAAGCTGTCGAGCAGGTCCAGACACGTGCCCAGGAAGCAGCCAGCGGCGCGGTGTTGCTGGGGTTGTAAGAGCAGAGGTCCGGCTGAGCCAGGAGGGGCGCCTGCCTCGCTGATGGCCCGCACTAGGCTGTAGAGTAAGGGCACGGACAGCGCCATCGTGAGGCGGAAACCCGTGGTGCCGAAGGGTGCGCGCAGCTCGATGAGGTCCAGGATGGATGTGCCCAAAATGAGCACCACCTTGGGCGTGAAGGCGATGGAGTAGATGAGCCACGCCAAGTAGGCAAAGGCGAATTCCCCCGCCGACCCGGCCACTCCCGGGCCACTGGCGCCCGCGCGGCCACTGCGCACCTTGGCCCCGGCGGAGGCGGCAGAGGAGGCCGGGGCGGCGGACAGGTGCAGAGGCGGCGCCCCATGATGGTGGTGCTGGTGGTGATTGTGCACGCTGCTCGCTGGGCCGCCCCGACGGCCGCGGCTGTTCTTGGCAAAGAAGATGGCCCAGCCCACCACCACCACCAGGTCGGTGGCGATCCAGGAGCACCAGTACAGGTCGGTGACAGCGATGAGGTACAGGTCTAGTAGACCGCCCTGCGCCAGTAGCAGCACCACGGACAGCGCCTGGTAACCCCAGCGACAACCAGGAGTAGGGGCGCAGCCGCGCCGCCGACCCCGGCGGCCTGAGCGGGCTGGGCGGCCGCAGCAGCAACAACACGAGCAGCAGGAGGCGCCACTGCCAGTCCCAGTACCTCCTGCGCCCCCAGCCGAGCGACCCCCGGGAACCCCGACGGCCCCGGTCCCAGCGCCCCCGCCAAAGTCCCCGGCTGTCATGCTGCAGGAGGAGGTGGGCGTGGAAGAGGAGGACGAGGTGGCAGAGGAGGAGGAGAAGGCGGTGGGCGCAGAGTCGGTGACTGGGACGCTCCCCTGAACCGGGGGCCCTGGGATCCCGGTGGCAGCGACTGGCACCAGCGGCTTGCTGATGCTGATGCTCTCGTCGTCGTCCTCTCTCTCTGCGCCCGTGCTGCTGCTCGGGGAGCCGCCACCGCCCCCGCCGCGTCTGCCGCCGCCTCCCCCCCTGCTGGTGCTGGTGCTGGTGCTGCTGTCGCCCGAGCCTCTCCGGCCGCGGGTGGAACCCCCCCGGAGGAAGAGGGGCTGCAGCCGGGCGGCGGTTGGGGGCGGCGGAAAGGAGCCTGACAAGGATGAGACCGAACGGGGGTTGCCGAGCGCTGGGTGCATTGTCCTCCGAGGGGCTCTGGGGGGCTGTCCAGTTGCTCCCTCTCCGCCAACCCTGGGCTAGCGAGGCGGCGGAGAGGAGCCAGGGACCGCCGCCACCGCCGCCTCCTCACCAGGGGCTGGGACTCGTACCGGATCGGGAGGCAGCGAGTTCCGGAGTGGAGCTAACGGACTGGGCGAGCCAAACCCCGGGTGGCTGCGAGCGGTGGAAGGCGCGGTGCTGAATGGACCTCGGTGACGACGGGCGGGGCGGGGGCGGGGAGCGAGCCCTGGAGGAGAGAAAAGGGAGGCTGGAGGCGAGGAAACCAGGACTGGATTTAAGGGGGAGATGAGGAAGAGAGGCCAGAGAAGGATAAAGCCTGGCTCGTTGGATCAGCTAAAACAAAGAGAGAAGGGGAGGGGAGCCCAGTGAGCCAGAAGGATGAGAGGAGGAGGAGGCATACTCCAGAATGGGGAGGGGAATGGAAGGGGAGGAGTTAGGAAGACTGACAGTGCGCATAGGACTCCAGGAGAAGCCTCTCAGAGGTCCCAGGACTTGAACGGCTTGCTATCAGAATAGACTAGACCTCCTGAGCTCCAGGATCAGTTAACAGTTTCAGATCTCTGCACTGGGTCACCCAAGCATCTTTTGTAGGCAGCAAGGCACTTTGGGCCTCTACCCTGTCAGCTGGCCCATCCGACTCTTCCTAAGACACTTAAATAAAGGGACCCGGTCACAATGATTAAGAGAACAGCAACCAAGACACTTATTCAAGTGCCCAGCACTGGGTTCAGTGAGCTCCCTTTGAAAAGCCCCCATTTCCGGTGGAAATGCCTTGAATATAATTACTTGGGAAGAAAGAACAGGTAAAAAGTTTGGGACTCTAGCCAAGTGAAGCTTTTCGTATTCTCAGAGATATTTTAAATGGGAACTGGGAATAAAAGGAAGACGTCTCTAGCAGAGAGAAAAATAAAGGAGCATTTAGAGATAGTGTGCCTTGACTTTAAAAAAAGAAGAAAGAAAAGGCCTAAACAGGATGACTGTGAATATGGCAACCTGAATGAGTGGACAGAAGGCACTGTCAGATGGATGGTGTTGGCGGAGTCTGTATTCACAAGCTCAGCAGCTCATGCTAAACTCTAAGACCTAACCTGTAACTGGGCATGGCTATCTGGGCAGCCAAATGGAAGTGATGGCTCTGGGAGATTTCTTGAGAAAAAAAATAAGTGAAATAATTTTAATTCAAAACAAATGTGGGTGGTTTTGGTTTGTTTGGGGTTTTTTTTTTTTCTTGGTTGGTTGCTTTTTTTGAGGGGAGAGTATAGTGTTTAATGCATGCACCTCATTCCCATCATTGGAAGGCTGGTAGCTTGCCTGCTTCTTTTTCCTTTTCCACCTACTTGAGGCTGCACGTTCCATGCCTTGATTGCCTTACCCTTAATGGTGCTGTTAATGCTTTTGGGGCTCATTTTCCTACATAGCACTATGCACTGTGCAGCTGGAGGAAAGGGATATGGTGGAACCACAGCAGCTCGTGGCCCTTTCTGGAGGTGACCTTAAATTTATCTCCATAAATGTATGAGATGAATCTATTTTCTCTAGCCTCTGAGGGTTCTGTCTGTGCAAACAAACCAAACAATACGCAGTGAAGGATTTAGAACTTACAGCCTACAGTATTTCTACCTCCCACGGGCATATACAATCTTTGGAAACATCTAGATTTCAACATCTTACAAAATAGAACAGATGTGGTAGTAAGAGCTTTCTCTCTGGGGTTGCTGTTGCTGTTATGTGCCAAGTCTCAAAGCGACCCCATGTACAATAGCTTTGAACCCTACCCTACCCTGAGCTAGTCTCACTGACCCTGACACATCTACCCCCATTGCCTCAGTTACCATGTCAGTCCATCTTATCTGGGATCATCCTCTCTGGAGCTGTCCCTCCACCCTTTCAAGCATGATGTCCTTCTTCACAGACTTGTCCCTCCTGGCCATGTGCCTAAAGTATGTGAGACAGAGCTTCAAAATCCTTGCCTCCAAGGAACTTCAAAATCCTTGCTTCTCCGAAACAGACCTATTTATTTTTCTGGCTGTCCATGTCAATACTTTGCTCCAGCACCACAACCCAAAGGCATCAATTCTTCTTCTGTCATCCTTAGTCATTGTCCAGCCAGCTCTCTGATTTATAGAAAGTAACTGTGAAGACTATGGCTTGGACCAAGGGGACCTCTGTTTCTAGACTGACATTGTTGTTCCTTACCACTCTGGAGAAGTCCCTAACAGCAGACTTTCCCAAAGCAATTTGTCTTTTGATTTCCTGACTGCTGGTGCCAAGAGTGTTGACTGTGGACATGATCAAGATGAAATTGTTAACAACTTCAGTCTCTTCTCCATCTATCATGATGTTGTCAATTGGTCCAGTAGGGAGAATCTTTGTTTTCTTCATATTGAGCTTCAATCCATATTGAAGATTACAGTCCTTGACCTTCTGTAGCAAACCCTTCAAGTCCTTCTCATTCTCAGTGAGCAAGGTTGTGCCACATGCATAACACAGATTGTTGATGAGTGTTCCTCAAATCCTGATGTCACATTCTTCTTCATAAAAGTCCAGCCTCCCAAATGATCTGTTCCATATATAGATCGAAAAGGTATGGAGAAAGGACACACCCCTGACACACTCTTTTCTTGATTTTAAACCATGCAATGTTTCCTTGCTCTGTTTGTATGACAGCTTCCTGGTCTAAGTATAGGTTTCACTTGAGCACAATCAAGTGTTCAGGTATCCCCATTCCTCTCAAAAAATTGTGAGCCACAATTTGTTGTGATCCACACTGTCAAATTCCTTTGCATAGTCAATAAAACACAACTAAACATCCTTCTGGCACTCCCTACTTTTCAATCAAGATTCATCCATTGGCAATGATATCACTAGTGCCACGACCTCTCCTAAATCCAGCTTGTATTTCTGGTAGTTTTCTGTCAATGTACGGTTCCAGTTATTTTTGGATAATCTTCAGCAGGATTTTGCTTGCAGTATTATTGATATTGTTTGGTAATTTCCACATTCTGTTGGATCACTTTTTCTTGGAATGGGAATAAATATGGATCTCTTCCAGTCAGCTGGCCAGGTAGCTGTCCTCCAGATTTCTTGGCACAAGCACGTACAGGGGTATATCTGTTTGTTGAAATATGTCAGTTGGTGTTCCATCAGTTCCCAAGGACTTATTTTTTGCCAATTCCTTCAGAGCAACTTGAATTTCCTCCTTCATCACCATTATTTCTTGATCGTATGCTGTTTCTTAAAATTCTTCTGTGTCAGCCAATTCTTTTTGGTACAGTGACTTTGTGTTTTCCTTCTATATTCTTTTAATGCTTCCTCGATCATTTAATATTCTACCTATAGTATCGTTAAGTATTGCAACGCAAGGCTTGAATTTGTACTTCAATTCCTTCAGCTTATGAAATGTCAAATGAGTTCATCCCTTTAGATTTTCTAATTCCAGCTCTTTGCATATTTCATGATAATATTTTGCTTTGTCTTCCCACCTGCTAGAATGGATTTAAAGATCCAGTCTACTAACTAAGAGGTCAGTGGTTCAAATCCACCAGCTACTCTGCGTGAGGAAGATGAGCAGAGTCCTCGGAAACCTAATGGAGAGTTGCTGTGAGTCAGAATTGACTCCATGACAATGAAAGACAGAGGAAATCAAAAAAGAAAGGAAAGAAAACTAAAGTGTTGGGGAGGATGTGGAGAAATGGATATCTTCAGATATAGCAGAATGAAATAGAAAATGGTATGATAGCTGTAGAAAACATTCTGGCAATTCCTCAAAAAGTCAGAGAGAACTACCATATGAACCAATAATAATTCCACTCCTGGATGGTTCTAAATACAGCAGATAAATGGACAAATGGGCATACAAACAATGGAATATTATTCAGTCATAAAAAGGGAGTTAAATATCTATCTCTATATCTATATTATCTATATCCATATCTATATCTATAATAAGATATATGCTTCATGGGTCTCCTGTATGAACTCTAAAACATTATACTGTGAAATAAACCAGATACAAAAGGACAAATATTATATAGTTCCACTTAAATGAAATTATCTAGAACAGGCAAATTATTTTGTTATAGAAACAAAATAAAGAGAGGTTACCAGGGACTAGGGAATAGGAAGTCACCATAAAGAATAGGTACAGAATTTCTGCCTGAGGTAATGACATTTTCTTTAAATAATAGTGATGGTTGCACAAAGTTGTGAATGTCACTGAGCCATACATGTAAGAGTTGTTCAAATGGAAAGTTTTATGTTATGTATGTTCTACCACAATAAAAATTATATGAAAGAAAGGACCAGAAGGCACTCTGGTGGTATGGTTGGCAGTATGTTGCTCTGCTAACCTAAGAAGGGACTGATACTTAACACTGTTGTATTAAAAATGGTCCCTTATGTGGATGGTTTAATGTGCTTTATTGCCAACTCATAGTAGGTGCTCAGTTAAAAGCTGTTATGTGCTATCAAGTCAATAATGACCCATAAGATATCAGATTGAATAACAAATTGGAACCTTGCCTTATCCTTGCCTCATCATGACCTCCAGCATGCCTCAAAAGTTAGCCCAACATTACAGTCACTGTGTCAATCCAGTTACCTGGTTTTATCATCATAATTCCACTCACTCATATCTTAACCTACAAAGGAACATTAATTCATAGCATGGGCCACCAGTGGCTGTTTTCTGGACTGTATCCCTTTCTGAGGTCACATCTAGTGTTCTACTTCTCTCAGATTCTTTATTTAAGTGCCAGGGAGCAAAGCTGACGTGTTAGGAAGAACAGCTCCTGGTGTTGGTCTCCTCAGGCTTCCCAGTGTGAAAGACTGAGCTATGCAAGCTTGTGCCAAGGTCCACTGACATGGGGCAAGCATGGGGAATGAAGAGCTTGGCTGATGCAGCCTCCACTCATGTGTGAGCGTCACAGCAGGTCCGGCAGATGTCAGGGCTGAGCTGGTCCAGGTAATGAAGCAGGCTGGGGAGCTGCCAACCACTAATGGGAGTGATTATAGCCAGTCTCCCCACTCTCCCCATGGGAAAATGCCAGCCAGCAGCCAATGTGGAAGCTGGCCCAGGACTTCTGCTCAAGTTAATAAAGCAATTGAAGATGCAAAAGCAGCTGATGAAGGCAAAGAGCTGTGCTCTCCCTCATAAGATTTCCCTCCAAACTAACCTGGATCATAATAGTCCTTCGACATGATTCTTTGCATGTCTGGAAAGTGTTC